AGTGTAACGCAGTTACACTAGTTGAAAAACAGAAGCATGGGCGTGGGAGACGATGCCGTTCTTATTTTGTTCATTCAGTCGAAAGCAATCTCGGCCCCAATGTATTTGTAAATATTCACTTCTTTAGATTGGCCACCAGCGGCGATAAGAATCTGTGACGTTTGATAGTCACGAATGCAACGCTAAAACGATGGGATCCTTGCAGGTCTACGGGATAAATCGGCTGAGTTAGCGATCTCTTGCATTCAAAACATTCATGTAAGTAGTCCAAGCTTGACGCTACCTGGGCGAGGCCGACGGCGTAATGGAGATTAGTCAACATACATTTGTCAGGGTTAAAACCATGTTAGATCCCTCCATAAATTCATTCAATGGTGAAGTCGAATCAAAAACACGATAGACAACAACCCCACCGAACATCAGACCGAATATCAAAAGTATCAGAGATTGTTATGGTTCAGGACCCAAGCAGTGCAGGACCCATACAGTGGGCTTCAATTTTGATGAAGCAGGCTGAGCATCAAGCCGTAGAAGATAACACAACAGACAGGCACACTTACTTGACACCTTCCACGTAATTAATCATGAGGGCGAGATCCTTGACACCCCTTTCGTGGTGATCCTTTCTTTTTTTCCCAGAAGCCTTCTAAAGACAGACAAAGCAAAAACAAGAAAATGTCGAAAGTATCCAATATATTGCCTTGTTTTGCAGCCCTACAATATCAAATTGATCTTTCCAAGAAACTACGATGATTTACGGCAGAGATAAAACATCGGATGACAAAAGTAGACTCCATGTAACACGTAACAGACAAATAACACAAAATATGTACTTGCAAAAAATTAGCACTGCAAATTAGTGTACCCCTCAACAATCAGAATTTTGGAAGGCATTTGGTGGATTGAAACATACAAGCAAACACAAATCTGGGCTGAAAACTGGCATAGGAATAACTAGATTTACGAAGCAGTATCTGCTTGCTTTTTAATGGGACGAATTAAGTTCAAACAAATAGAACTGTATTCTGCGTTGGAACGGCACAGCGAGACAAGTTAACAAGACCAGTTAACTATAGAAAATAAACAATCAGATGGCAATTAGTAAGGTAAGGATTTGATAAAAGCATAAAATTTATCGAGCGAGCTGAACTGAGGAGCTGTCATAAATAAATTTGTCCAATAACGGATTAAAACGCAGAACGTATACAACAGCCTATTATTCCGAACCATACAGTTCCATGCGAATACTTAGCCTGGCATAATGCCAGATTCGGCGACGATGGGGTCACCAATTTGACATTCGCGGAATAGATACGCACTGAAGTCGTTGAGGTAAGTCAGCCGAGCAGAACTATTACTTGCGAGTGCACTATTAAAGATAATTTCTGATGGTGAACAAATGTTTTTTTCGTGCAATCGGTTTATATTTAAAGAGGATGGGACTGTGTTTAACAGTGAAATGCAGAAAGAATGTTCATCTGGCTAATCGAAAACATTTATTGTTGGCTGAAGTGAATATTTCCAGTCAGTCCCACAGCTTATAACGATGAGAATTACTCTGTTTTTAACACAAAAATAAGGTACTACAATGTTCTGAGAAGCGGACAATGTACAGTATAGCGAGTGCTGCAAGTAAAAGGCCGCAATTTGCAAAAGACTGGTAATCACTCCCAAAACTACATTAAGTAGGGTTGCAATACTGATTATTGTGCAGTCTCAAATCAATTCTTTTCAGTCACGTCAGGATGAAGGCTCTTTAATCAGCTTCGTTCTGACCACTTACAAAACTAGATTCTTTAAAAAATGGTCAATTAAATAGTATACCTTTTTTTCCCACGGATTTAGACTGTCTTTATAAATTCAAATATAGTTTAGAGAAAACATGCACGAAAATATTCTTTCCTGTACTCGTTTGGTAGTAAATAACGCCTCCTTTAAATTCTATACTCAAAGAAAGGGGATCCTTGGATTTTAGAAAAAGTTATAATTATGAGAGTTTTGACGACTGTGAGGTGTTCATTCACAATTTGACCTGTCAACTTAATAATGCTGCTGATAATTTATACAGCATGGTCCACATCTATTGCAGAATTTTATGGGAAATATGCGACCTCCTCCACAAACCGTAGGCAAAAAACGTTTTTATTAAACAGAATTTACACAGCATGCGGCTTTGAAACCTTGAATTCAGGTGTAGCATTTGGTATAATTCAAAATTATTCGGCAATTTAGAGGCCTTTTATAAACAGAAAGATATTTTTTTATGCATCAAAATTAAGGAGGGCGTAATTCTCAACCAAACCATTACAAGATAGAATATTTTTTTGCATGTTTTCTATAAAATGCATTTGAATTTATACAGGCAGTCAAAACCCATGATAAAAATGCATGCTAAATAAGGTGTCATGCTTTACAGAATCTACCTCTTGTAGGGGATTAAGAAGAAGCTTATTAAAAAGCCGGCGTCCCGGCGCGACTGAAAAGAACCGAGATTAGACTGCACGATAATAAGCATGGCAATCCTAGTTAATGTTGGTTTGCGAATGATTACCAGTCATTCGCAAATTACGGCATTTTGCTTGGAGCACTCGCCATACTGTGGGTTAAGAGGAACCGATAAATTGCACATTGACATCCCACATAGATGTAAAAAATACAGTTACCCTAACTAACCTCAGCCTGTTGTCCTACGAGAAAAGCCACCGTATCTCGCTCTTGTTTGCAATAATAGATCCGACAGAAAGAAGTTTCGCCGTCTCTGCCTGCTCTTCCTGATTCCTGATAATACGCAGCCAGGCTCTTTGGAATAGTCCAATGAACGACGCATCTTTCGAAATATGCACAAAGCAAACATTTAAATGGTTTTTAATTGAAGAATTTAAAGTACTTGTGATTGTTTTCTATTTAAGAAATTCTCAAATACTCCAAAAATATACATCTCAAAATCACAAAGTAGCAAAAGATTGTGCTAATAATATGATAAGTTATCACTGAAAGGATCTTTTTAAAATGACAATCACACACCTTACGTTGGCTTTGTCAACCCCCATGCCAAAGCTAATTGTTGCAGCAACAATAGGGAACTCTCCCTTGGACCAGTCTTGTTGTACCTGAGCACGTTCGTTTTTCGAAAGACCAGCATGATACGCCGAGGAACGCAAACCACGCCTGGTAAGTTGTAAGGCGACGGTTTCACAGTCTTCTCGGGTACGACAGTATACTATACCACAGCCAGTGGTGATCTAAAAAAATTCCGAGTAAGTGGTAAGCTACCAGTTTCTTGTTTGGATTTTCCGTACGCGACAGGCAACGTGTGATAAAAGAAGCTAGTTCATCGTAAGGACGCTCCAGGAGGTCAACAAAAACGACGTCGTAATATAAATTTTTACGAAAGACGCCGGTAGTGAATTCTTGGAAGGACAAATTTGAGGGCACGTTTTTCCTATCACCGTCCGCTGACCTTAACATCAAGCATTTAATAACGTCTTCCTTCACTCGAGAGTTCGCCGTAGCGGTCAGTGCGACACATGGGATTGACGGAATTACGGATGAACGGAATTCGCCAATTTTAAGGTATGCGGGGCGGAAATCATGTCCCCATTCTGAGACACAATGAGCTTCATCCACAATCAGATATTCAATGAGATTTCTCTCAGTCATCTTTCTCACAAGAGATCGAAAGGATTCTGTTTCACATTGCTCCGGTGTCACGTACAATAACTTTAGAGAAGGCATCACGAAATTTTCTAACGAGTCCGATCGCTTAAGCAAACGTTTTATGACATCCGAACGCTCTTTTGCGGTAAGTTTGGAATTGATAGTAGCTGCGGGAATCTTCAATTTGGACAAATGAGCAAGCTGGTCTGCAATTAGTGCTAGCAATGGCGAAATCACAATCGAAGTGCCATTGCTAATGACTGCGGGTAGTTGATAACACAGTGATTTGCCGGCTCCCGTTGGCATTGATATAAACACATTGTGATTTCCTAAAATATTACAAATAAAAATCAAATTACTC